TGTAATTTTTCTTGATAATCTTTTGTTGATCCTACATTCAGTGTTTTCTTCAAAAGCATTAGTTGAGTTGTGTATTGCATCCTCAGCTTCCTGATTTGGTCTACCTGTTGATAAAAATGAATATATAATATAATATTAATTGTTATTTAATAATATATAAATGAACGATATATTTTAAGTAAATGATCATTTGATGGACTAACATTGTTTGGGTTTAAGTCACAAATCCATTTTTTATTTTGATCACCAGTGAATGTTTCCATGTGTTTCATAATGTAAACTTCACAATTTGTGTAATCCTCATTGCCACTTTAAATGACACATCACTACAATATAGATTATATCAATTTATATGAAGAAAAAAAAAATGTTCAGTATGTATTTCATATATGTTCATATATGTATCTACAAATGAACATTATTTTTTAATATAAATGGCATATTTTTTTACAGGTAGATGCTCATATATGAATTATAAAATATGAATAGCATATCCATCTCTAAATTCCATCAAATGTTTCACTTAAAATGGTATAAAACTATAATCTAGCTTTGTTTATTATGCATTTAAAAATGTTCATATATGTATGTAAAAATGCTCATAATATTTAAAAATAATGAACATATTAATAAATGTAAATGCACATATATAAACTATTAAAAAAACATTTGAATGTATTACCAAGTTTTGTATGCATGCGTTCATAATGTTTTATACAAATCAATAACACATATTTAAAATAAAAAAAAATCAAATCTGAATATGTTAATAAATACATATTAACATGTAATAATAGGTAAACATGTGAATATTTTCATAATATGATATGAAAATGAACATATAGTGCTTTATAATTGTTCATTTTACCTAAGCATCCGAGACACTATTTTTACATCTGCAGCCTTAACGCTTGTATATCTTTGAAAGTGTTGGATCTACAATAGGAGATTTTTGTTCGCCGGTTTTTTTGTAGAGGTGTTTCACCATCATCTCAATTTTTACATTATAAACCATTTAATAATTTTTTTTTAATAAATTCTTGTAAATTTAAGAAGTTTGAGTAATATACTTACATTTTTGAAGAATCGTTGTTTCTGTTCTCTGAAATAGATTTCTCCAAACTGAAAAATGAAATTGAAGCAAGTAGATGTTAATTTTACTAATTATTCGAAATAATCACTTTGAAATTGATGAATTATTAACATAAATACTTACATATATACCTTTTCAGTTATTAAACTATCAATTTGTTTCCTGAAACACAATCACAAATAAATTCTCAAAAAATTAGTTTTTTTTTAAAAAAAATAAAATAAAATTATATGAACATTTATACTTACTCTTTTGATTTTCGCTACTTTTTTTCGGTGAAATTTGCTTCGGTTGTTTGACTTCGTCTCTAATGTCCGCCATGGTTGAAATTTTAAAGCTTAGATGAGAGAGATAATGGAGAGGGAAAATAAAGAGAGAACAAGATTTTTTTTTTTTTTTTTTTTTGGGTATATATATTTGTGGGGTAGAGGAAGTTACTGAATTTTTTTTAGGATTTTAGGGAATAATAGTATGCTGCATTTTGTGAGGGTATAGTACTGCAGAAACTATGAAAATAGGTAGATGGGGGAAGGGGTGTTAAACGATGTGTTTAGAGAGGGGTGTAGGGGATGATGCCTAGACTAGAGTCTAGCCATAAATAATTAGGCTATGAGTCCGTTCAACTTTGATCTGTGTTTTTATCGAATTTGTAATCAAGTTGGAATAGTGTAACTATTAAGGTTCTTGTTTAATTCATTTTGCTTTTAATTTACAAGTTTTTATATGTGGTTGGCCACACCGTGTAACCAGTTATCATAAGGGTTTATTCGTTAGTATAATACTATAGTATTAGTCTCGTGCGATGAACAAATAAAAATTGGTATAATGTCACAGTTGCAAAGTTATTAGACTAAGTTTAAATATTAATTAATATACTAAAATTTCAAATTACAAAGAAAATGAAAATTACATATATGCATTTTTTTTTAAAAAAAAGGTAGTAATTAGAGTATATTAATTAATAAAAAAAATATAAAAGTGGATCGGAGTGAAATATTTAACCAAAATTTTTATCAAATAACAAAAATATAAAAAATAAATAAAAAAAAAAATTGATGAAATCACATATATTTTAGGCGAGAAAATTTTTAATCACAACTTGACATGTGTATACTTAGGGGAAGAGATGATGTCTGCGGTTGTTATTTAGTATTATTTATCAATAGGTAGATATAGATTATAGATGGGTTATTTGGTAAGGGGTTACTTTGTCAGTGTTATAGGAGTTACTCGGTTAGTGTTATAGGGGGTTAGTTTGTTCTTTTATAAGTGGCCACACAGTACAAGACGAACTGTGTTTTAATTATTTAATCTGATTTAAACATATTTTTCCTGATGATTTTATAAGAAAATTCAAAATAAAATAAAACAAAATAACACTTATTTTTCTGTCTACTCTAATATAATTATTTCTTATTTGATTTCATCTGATTGTTTTGTCTAATTTAACCCACGCTAATCTAATGAAAATACATCAAATATGGTTTTTTTAGTATAACAATGTGTATTTTATTAATATGTGATTTTCATAATTTTTTATTACAAAGGTGAAGATATCTAGCTATAAAAAATCGCACATAAAACAATAAAGTATATTCATAACTTATTTTTTTTTACTTGAACTTAATGTGAACTAAACATGGTCTAACTTGATGATTTTAATGAAACTAGGGTGTTTACCGCGCGCATCATAGCTAGCCATGTTTAGTGAAGCCTTTTAGTTGTTGGAAACATTAATGAAGGAAAATATGTAAAACAAATATTTTTAGGGGTATAACGGTCTGCATACTGTTTTTAAGAGTTCCAATTAACATTAATAAGGGCAAATAAGTAAGAAAAACATTTTAGAAGGAAAATATACATTATCCAAATACTATTCATAAGGGTTAGATCATACACAAGGAAAAACTTAGATGCAAATTAACATCATTTCAATAGGGGCATATACGTAAACAAACATTTAAGGTTATAATTGTCCTCACATTATTCATACGTGTTGCTCATACTTTATATAAGGTAGGGAAAGTGCAATGTGATAAGTTTTATAAAAGTAATTAAGTCACTTTGACTCTCTGAAATTTTAATTTTCACTCACTTACATAAATTAAGTTTGTCAAAAAAGTATATACATGTATAATTTTTATTTATATTAGGGTAACTTTTATTTATTTCGAATTACCTTTGGTCATTTTAAAACAGTTGTACAGACAACAAATATACGATATCCATACCTAGTAGTCCATAAAACACAAACCTTCATGCCACATGTCACTTTTTTAAAAAACAATGCCATAGGTCACCTTATTTTACATTTTTTTTTATCCCTTTCAAAAAAAAGAAAAAAGAAAAATAAACTTAATTCAATTTATGTATTAAAATTCTTTAGTTTATTCCCCCAACTTATCTTCAACAAGTAAATCAATTTTCATCTCGTCTTCTCCTTTATAAACCATTCATTTTTCAATAAAATCATATTATAAAACAAAAAATTATATTATATACCTATAAACAACTTGTGCATTGTTGTACGGCCCAAAAGACTAGTTTATTATACATCCGAATATTTTAAAAGTTTGTTTTTTAAAGTGCGTTTTACTTTCATTTTTGGCAAACTAAACTATTCTAATGTTATATCTCTCTCATCTCGTGCTCCTTCACTTGGGTCTTATCCTGTTCACCACATTGAAAATAATATTCATTAAAAGTAATTTCAGTTTAGTTTAAGTAAGATCAATTCGGTAAAAATTATTTCAGTTCAGTAAAAATTAGTAATTATAAAAAAATATATAATAGACAATCAGTACAAATAATTTCAATTATGTAAAAATATTTTTTTGTATAGTAATATTAATTTAAGTTCGAAAAAAATAATTTCAATTTAGTAATAATATTTTTAGTTTTGAAAAAATAAGGTCAATTGAACAGAGCCGTAAACCTACTAATTTTTTTGTATTACTTTTCAATAAAAATAAGTTGAAAATCGTTCGAAGGGCGCGTGAAATGCTCCAAAAACAACACGGCAATGTCCAGTAATCCAGTTTATCAAGCTTGCTTGCCCAATCGGGCACAGACCAAATGGTCCAGATACCTTTCTTGAATTTCTAGCAACTTTTACAACATTGGTAAACAAGAAGGGAGTGAGTTATTTGATTCATGTTCTTAATACTTTACCATTAAGGTATTGACTTAGTGGTAAAATCTAAGGGCCTGTGTACAGTAGGTTACATGTTCAAATCCCCTCACCCCCATCGTTAATTTGTTAGTGGTTAAGACTAATAGGTCACACAGCTCACAGATTCAAATCCCCTCACCCCATTTGTACTTTGCTAGTGGACTAGTGGGTAAGACTAAAGGCTTGTGTACGAATGTACGATAGGTCACAATTTTAAATCCCTCTCCATTTGTAATATGTATTGCCCTCGTAGTTCATTCAAAAAAATAAAATTGTTCTTAATACTTCACCTATATTCATTCACATAGTGACATACACGCATATCATACACAAGTTAGTGTTGTTAATTCCTGACCCCTGACCCGACCAAGCCTGACACGAGGTTATAAAGAGATAAAACGATCTGGCCCAAACTCAATCCAATTGGACCCATATATGGTGATAGAGTAATTTTATTTTTAATGCGACCTGAAATCTAAACCTGTCTTTTTTTATATTTTTATCTTCTCAACAGGAGATCAATCGCAATCTTGCCGTGTTTGCGGTGTAATTGGGGCAATTGAGAAGTTTCGAAATTGAGTCAAACAGAGAGATGGGTAACGAAGGAACAGAAGCACTCAAATACGTTTGGAAAGGAGCAATTCCCCTTCAAATTCATCTCCATGATTCTGAAGTCGCCACTCTTCCTCCTCCTCCCCCAGTTCTGGTTTGCATTCGTCTTCATTTCTTTCATTATTCACTTCTAATTTGTTCTGGGTTTTATCTTTTTAGTTTGAATTTGGGTTTTCATGTTGCAATTTTATTAAATATGATCGCATTAATTTCAAGTTCTGTTCTTGTTGGGTTGATTATAATACTAGTTGTTAGTTTAAATGTCATTTGAATCTTGGTTTTGTTGTAAAACTTGTTAATGCAATTTGTTGCTTGTTTGTTCTTGTTGGGTTCATGCTAGAATCATTGTTACTAATTTGTGCAAAACAAATCGATGTTAGTAAGTTGTTGCCAATTATGGTTGGCTGGGCATTTTCAGTTGGTGATTGTATGTTGTGGCGTCGACTCGAATAAAGACTTAAACTGTTTCTTACTTTGTTTAAGGCAATGCGTGAAGTGAGGATAATCATTTAGGGGGTAATCATAATTTACAATTGTTGGGGTACTTTAGGAGGCGAATTACTATGTCGATTATGTCTGAAAGGGTTTAATAGGCTTTCCTATCTCGTGATCGAGCAGTAATGTACTTCCAATTAGGGGCATTAAATTCCTCCATTTGCTCTTAACCATATTCTGAGCACGACACCACTATTAGCTCCACCTTTACCCGTTGACCACCTATATTAGTTTCTAATTGATTTATGTTGCCTTTTTATTCATAATTCTCATACTAGCATGACCCAAGTAGAAAATTGATGCTGATGCTACCTCATACGAGTTGTAGTTCTGTGGGTGAAGAAGTGAATTTTTCCATGGAATGAATGATTGGCATTGAACCATCAAGTTTTTGAATGCTAGTTTGTGAGGTAAGTTTTCCTTAGTTGTGACTTGGTGCTCAACTAATCTTAATTTGGTCTCTTCTATAATAAGATGTTAATTTGGTCTCAAGAGCAGTGATGCTTGTTCTGTAAAGTGATTAAGGCTTTATTTGTGAAGTAATAAAGTTTTTAGTATATGTGATCCACTTTAGAAAGAGCTCCAGCAATTGAATTTTTTCTTATGTAGAGAGAGCTACAAGGGCAATGATGTTGATTGGATTTGATACCATGTCTTTGTATCACCCCCTCAAGACTTAACCAAGTAAGCTAGTTGATCACTCTGAGATTATAGGAGAGGCGTCCTTTGGGGTTGCAGCCCTTGCTGGAAGATCTATTGGTGTATATAATTCCCTCGAGTTAATGTCCAATGACAGATAATTAAAATGAATATTTACTCTTATGGAAATAGTGCCGACATCTATTTTTTTAGGATGGTCTGGAAAAACAGTTACTTTCCTCTTAGATTGAGTGATGGAGAGTGGAGGAGTGTGATGAATGTCAGGAAAAGAGAGTGTGTCAAATTCTGATTATGGCATCATCACAATCACAAGAAGAAAAGCAATGACTTAATATCATCAAATTCTATGACTCTATGTTTATTTTTTTTAATTAATTAAAGGTAAGGGTATTGAGAATGTAGTATGCCTTTTGCAAGTGATATGGTTACCTTTAGCTATCACGTGGAGAATATGCTTTAGATTTTGAAATGGCAAAGCAATGAAAATTAAGATCAGTCTCCTAGAGCTTATTATGAAATTAGAATTTTGTTTTAATTTGAGGACTTCAGGAAGGAAATAGGATCAATGGAGGAAAAAAGTATGTTTTATTCCCACCATTTGCTTCTTTCTCACAAAGATCAATATATTGTTATTTTGTGGTGAAAACATTTCTCCTCCATCTCCCATATGTTAGATTCCACAATAATTATAGAGTCTCTATTGAGATAGACTGAGTATCAGAGTATGTATGCTGAAGGAAATGTTTGATATGTCTGAATACACAAATTATTTTCCTTGTAATTTTTCTTTTTCTTACGGAGTGAACTTCCAAGAACTATTTCTTTCTTTTATTGTCCTTAACAGGGTTCTCTTTGTTTTACACATAACAGCAGATTTCCTTTTTTTATTTGTTGATGTATGCTGGTTGTTTTGGTATTACAGTTGTTAGCTCCACGAATAGGTTATCTGCCACTGCTAGCACCTCAAATTAAACCCCTCTTCAGCAGCACACTTCCTCCAGGGGATGATACAGTTTGGTTTGAGTACAAAGGATTACCCTTGAAATGGTAAAGTCCTGGTCTTGCTGTAAATGCTTGATTTTTACACTGAATAGCATCATCATTATACTCATGAATTTAAGTTCTGATGGATCTGTTTTACGTATTTTCTTTTACCCTACTCCTTTCCTGATGGAGATGTTTCAAAGTTAGCTGTATCAGCAGCTGATGGAAATAATGTTGTGCTTGGCAAGAAATAGCACCCCTAATCCACTTAAACTGCAAGAAATGGATGAAATCTAAATTCTTGAACTGTCAACCAGCTTATAAGAGTTTCAGCAATCTTTATTCTTTACAACTCACGAGTTATCAATTAATTTTTCTACATTATGGCTCAAATAAATGAATACATACCTCATCTTTAATTAAGTCTTTTGCATGTTAGTAAATAAATTACACAATCATGTTGACACAGCACTTGCGCAGCTTAAAAAGTTCAAGAGCGAGCACATGAATGTCATCGTAATCAAGCTACCAAACATGAAAGATGCAGCAGCATCTTAAGATATGAGGTATAGTCATTTATAAAACACCTGTTATGGGTTGAGGGTAGTTCACTGTAGGTCTGCAGCTGCATATCATCATTCAAGCATAACCGAATACTTTACTAAAAACTGTAGATCCAATGTTAAATCTTAAATGCTTTTAATGTGTGCTAATTAGTTAGGGAGTCTGCAAAACATTTGTCCCTTGTGCGTTTTAATTATCAAATTGTCAATGTTAAAAGTGATGTGCTTTCTCATCCCTTGGAATTTTTCATTGTTGTATATGTTCCCATGTTTTGGTAACAGTATACCTTGAGATTAGCATATAGACACACTAGCCTGTATTTGTAATGATGTATGACATAACTCACATATGGTACACCCTACCAAGATGTCAGTATGAGATGTCGAGTCAACTGGAGTATAGTTGTGGGCTACATTGTCTTCCTTGTCTTTGCAGTGACTATATTCATCGATCGAATTTTCTGGATTCTAAGCATTTTTAGGTGTATTTATGACCTACATTTGTACATAGGGGGCATTCAATAATCATCTTTTCCTGTATTCATCTTTGGATTTTAAATTTGGATTTTTCACCATGGTTGTGTTTCTTGTACAGGTATATACCAACGGGCGTTCTATTCGATCTTCTGTGTGCGGAGCCTGAGAGACCTTGGAATATTACGGTATAAGTGTTGGTTGATCTTCTTAATGAATGCACCTGAACATGTTGCGTTATTTGTTAATTTGGCTGTATTTATTATTTGCAATGCTCAAGTGTATCAGTAGGAAATCAAGGGATGTATATTTGATGTTTTCAATTAGGGAAGCATAAGTTGCATTTTGGTTGTTATTGTGTCTTAAGCATTTCATTTTTTAACTGATGAATGTTCTTCATTTGTTCTGCTGTCATCTCGAGCTCTTTTTGTAAGGATTTATTGTCGTCCAGTAACTAATTGAAATGTTAAGTCTGTGCTAAATTCTTCAGGGCAAAATTTGTTAAAGAGGTTAAATGATGACTTATGAGTTTATGATGGCATGTTGATGACATTAGTTTTGCTTATGGCCTGGATTTAGCTTTTTAAACAAAGAGTCCTTATCAATCACATGTTTTTCTACCTTATGGGGTCATTTTCTGTATACTTGTATGTTCATATGGAATGCCTACTAAGTAATGTTGTGTACTTTTTACGCATTGTAGTGAATCACTTCTTTACTTTGCATTTAACTTTATGTACTATATACAGGTTCATTTTAGAGGTTATCCGAGTAATACACTAGCTCCTTGTGAAGGTGAAGATGCTGTTAAGTGGAGTTTCATCAATTCTTTGAAAGAGGTAAATTGCACGGACAAAAACTACATTTTGCGTCTATAAGACATGTATATTCTCTGTACATGTATCCTTGTGAAGGTCATCTTCTGTTATTGTCACTTGTGCTTGTTGACTGAAAATAATGTATGTTGACTATCACTTGCTGGTATCATCTGTAGTGTACTTGTGCTATCTTTCTAGTGCTCCCTTCTCCACTTCCACTTGCTGTGCTTACGATCTTCTTATCTCTCACCAATGCAAATCAATAAAGCTTGATGACCTCTACCATGTGTTACCCTAGTGGTTCAAAAATTTCCATCTGGTCCAATATATACCTATGAAATTATTGAACAAAGGCATATCAAACATAGCCTTCTCTAATCATGAATGATCTCTTCCATTTACAATTCATATCTTATTTCTTTTCAATTCAGTAAACGAGCATGATGTATGAAATAATCTGCAGGAACCATATTTCCTCTCTGACACTGAATTGAGAGATGTTCAGCAGCCTTGCATATGGCAAAAATATACTTCCCTCCTTTTATTATCACAACAATTGGATTTTGACTCTATTCACATACAATCATATGACTTTCTATTGTGATATTTTTGTAAGTGAAAATACAATCATGTGGAGGTCTTTTTAGATTAATCTTGATGTTTACTTTCACAATATCAAGTCTTTATATAATTATTAATTTAATTAAAGATCATAATAGTTAAAGTTGTGCATTGTATGCATGAAACTCCAATTATTGCAACAAAGAATGAAGGAAGTTTTATGTATTTGCCTAGCTGGCTCTTGCACGACAAGGCAACAGCTATCTGATTGAAATCCTTGATTCATTGGTGCATAAGTGTAAGAATAATGTCAAGGTTTTTGTAATATGCCAACCTAAGCTTTTTAATCTTACTGACTGAAAACCTCACTGGTATTGTGTACTTATTGTAAATTCACTCTCCAGGTTTAGACTTTAGATTGGAAACACCTTCTGTTTTCTACCTCTAAAGTTGGAATTTTATTGTAGTAAGCTTGGTTGCTGTTAGTACATCATATAATTGATGTCTGTCTTTGTCTTTTCAGGCTGCCTACATAATCAATGGAAACTGCAAGAATGTAATGAACATGTCACAGTCCGACCAGTTGGAATTATGGCGTTCTGTTTTAAATGGTGGGACAGCTTATTCATTAAATTTAGACAAACATCTATATAGCTGCATATGGATTTAAATCTTTTGTGGGAGCACATTAGAAAAGATGTTGTCAGATTGTGGAAGCAGTGATATAGAATAGATGAGTATCATGAGCTAAACTTACTGTAGGGTGTTGTTTATTAAAACAAGGTAGTTAACTTCTAGTCTTCCACATTTACAAAGAAGAGAGGCACCTCATCTTAAAGTGTTTGTTCTATGCTCCAGCATTGCCCAGACCAACTTTTGCACTTCTCCACCCACTTTATACTTTTAGCCTTCTTCACCGTGACTCCGTGAGAGAACATTTTCATTTGTGGCAGAATAAAATATTTAATTCCTTAAGTGGAAAAAAGTACTGTCCTTTCCTGCACAGGCTCGTAGTGATATGTTGATTTTTCATGGCACTTGTAGTAGCCAAATGAACCAAATGAACCAAATTCTAACAAATGCCTGGATATTTATCTAAACACTGTAGGCAATTTAATTATGCCAAGCCAATATTTGGTTCATTTAGAAATAACTCAGATTAAACTAAAATTCTGGATTTGGACAGTGTTTTGGTAAATAAGCATGTGGTTAGGATCCTAGTGTGAACAAATGCGAAAATTTTTAGGATTTAGATTAAATGTTTCTCATTTTAGGAGTTCTTGGAAGTTATAGCTCTCTTATCTGCTGAAAGCTACTTTAAGTGGCTTTTTTGCATTTGCTACCTCCCAGGGCATGAAAATTCATGTCAAAAACTTAAACACCAAACTTAAATGCTGTCTCAAGAACTGATGATAGATGCAGCCTATATAAGGGACTTGTGGCTTTTTGGCTTTGACTTCATGTTCATACCTGAAAAGGTTTTTTAAAACTCAATCAAAGAACAATTTCCTTGATAGGCCCTTCTTCTGATTGCTTTTTATCTCCGGATTTTACTATTTCTTTCTCTTTTGAGCTTATCGTCTTCTAATTCATTACAGAATTTGTGCTTGTGCATCAATAGTTTACCTATCTGGTTGTATCAGGCAATTTGGACTCCTTCCTCAAGGTGACATCAAAGCTGAAGCTTGGAGCCATTGAAGATGATTACACAGCAAAACTGTATCCGTCGTTAAAATCCTCGTCTGATACTGGTAATACAGATAATCCCGGACTTGCCAAAACAGGTAATCCTATACTTCAAGCCTGCCTAAAATTTCCAAATTATATCATCTATACACAAACTCTTATGACTCCATAAGGGTTCATCCCTACTTTACTAGTGCATCATATAACTTTCCTGAACTTACTTGCATGACTTCTGCTTTTGTCCCTCTGTGGTTAAATAGAGAGCCAAACAAACTTGTCAAGGAAGTTGTTGGATCTCCTTTCTTATACTTTCCACCTTTTAGACATAGCTAAGATAGGAGTAAAAAAAATATTTGTCATTGACAACTTTGGAGAAACATGATGATGGTTATTCATGAGCCTATAGATGATTATTAAATGAACTAAAAACAATCATATTCACCAAGGATTCTCTACCAAAATTTCACGCTTACTGTCCAGAGCAATGTCAGAATCATCATTTTTTTTGGTAATTATTCAAGAAAATGGCAGTAATAGATGCATAATGTAAGGCAACTGGATGCTTTTAAGATGGGCAGAGCAGATATTTCAATCCGTGTAGAGGGAGTCATAGCTGGTAGGTTGAATTGCTTATGGCTTGCTTTTGAGGAGGTAGACTTGGGCCGCAAGCTATCTGTCCCCGACAGCAAAAGTAGCTTGAGCCAAAGGCGAGAGTGAGGCCACCCTGAGGGGTGGGTAGGGGCGAGCGGGGATGTGGGCGCCCTTCTATTGAGCGAATTTCATTTAGGAAGGTAGTATAGAAGGGTTTCATGTTTGCGCTCATTTCGAATTGTATTTCTCTGCTTCGGGGAAAGCAATAGCACTCGGCGTACCAAACTCAGAGGAAAGCGTAAACCAATCACCAAACCCCTGACGTTTACCATCCTTTACTGGATGACAACACTCGATTCCAAGAACTAAACGAGCGGGGAGCATTTGGGCTCTTCTCGCGGTAAAGCCTCTCGCCTATTGCGTATAGGCTTATTCACTCTTCTATAGCGCTTATTGAGGGAATTGTTCTTCCTATAATCCTTCTTAAGGGAAGGCTCTGAGCCTCTTCCTGCTGATCGGACGGAGAATTCCAGCCATCCATCGGTCCGAGTTACGCGGGGTACAAAAAGAGAAATAGAAGCAAAGCTAATCGAGAGGATTGGCCAGATGGAAAAGAACTGGAAGGCTTTTAAGAAAGATGAGGACATTGTGGGCGCATCATCCTTGGTTGTGTTCCCCAATGGGCTACCCCAGAAGTTTCAAATGCCTGACATGGACAAGTTCGATGGAACGGGATGCCCTAAGACACATCTCCTCATGTATGCCGGGAACAGCTGTATAGTTACTTCCATGAAGACTCAGTTCTCTTCACCTTAGTCGAAATCAGATTAGACCAGACTAGATCAGACAAATTCAGAGAGATTAGACAAATTAGGATAATGAGTTAGACCATAAATATAAATCAGACCAGAGCTTAGAAAGTTCAGATGAGGAAAACCTGAAATAAGGGTGAAGAGAACAAATTCTTTGACCCATGTTCAAATATACATGCTAACAGCCATCCAAGACCTAAAAATCTCCACATTTACCATTGAATGGGGTACTTTAGCCCCCCCCCCCCCCTCTCTTCTGCTGTGGTTCCTGAGTAGGTTTAATTTAGGAACTGTTTGCCGTTTACAAATGAGGATCACATAAAGTGACCCACATACTTGTTGGTTCATCTTTGTTAAATTGACCCACATTGTGTTAAATTGTTGAGTTTTTGAACAACTTGTTGAACACTCACATAGTTATGAACTGACATAATTTGACCTATTTAGTGATGTTGATCATAATGATGGTGCTTATGATTGATAATCTGAAAATGTGAACTAGTAACCGATGAGCATAAGCATTTGAGAGACTTGACCCTCCCAAAATACAAATTAAAACTAAAAGAGAATTCTCATCAACGTCCACCATGATTCTCTTTATCTCCAATTAGCTCTATTTATAGAGCTATTCCTGTAACTAAGTAGCTTATTAAGTTATTACCCAAGCCACTAGATCATACTGCAACTATCTAAGTTGCCCCTCCCTCTAATATCAATTCATAGCACACATTGAGAAATGACTAATACGCTCATGTTCCATAGGAAACTGTTTTGCTAAAGTACTTCTCTACATTAAAAGCTTCTTCAAAATCTTCATTGCGATTTCAGCGCTCTTGTTTGGGCAACTGGTATATGTTATGCTAACTTTGAGTAATGTGAAATTCGTTCTTTTCAGGGTAAATTTCCCTTCCACCAAATTCTACATTTTGCGTTCCCATTAAAGAGTCCTTACAGCTACACACATGTATTATGTAGATAATTGTGGCATTAATGTTAAAAACTGGCAAAAAGTATTGCATAAATTGTAAGAATTGGTGCATTGTTATTCTACATGAAAAATTATATGGTGTATAGATTATTCTAGTGCCCAGATAGTATGAAAACGGATGAATTTTAGATTTATGGTACCTTTTGGATTAATCTCTCCCTTCTTTGTTCCCTGTCTGAATTTTTATTGTTGTTAGTCACTATTTGCCTCTCTGGTACAACCGTTTCAATAGCCATGTTTGACCAATTATGGCAGGTAGGATTCCAGTTCGGTTGTATGTTAGGATTTTTACCAAGGTGTTTGATGACTTGGAAAATGCTCCCGAGATTGACAGCTGGGAGAAAATTTCTTACATAAACAGACCCATTGGACTCAGTAAAGATGAAGGTCAGTATAGATTTCATTTCTTTAAATCAAAGACATTACTAGCAGACCAAATTCTTAAATCCTGAACAGCCCCTTTCCTTTAAGTTTAAATACCTGTTATACTCTTAAGACAACAAAACTCTAATTGTCTGGTGATCTGGTCAATTAGGATGTTTAATATATCCATTGTGTAAAAGATGTCAACTACTGTTATTAATGCTACAAGTTGTACTGTATGCCCTCAGCCAGTCATTAATCATGTATATTTTCTGTTTCTGTTTCCCATGTCATTTTTGGCAACTCTGTGCTTTCTTCTGATTACTGGCAAATGACAATATCATTCATTTGGTACAATCACTACAACAGATGGAGGTTGAATTCTCCTTTGAATTATGAAGAGAGGCATTGATCTTTCTACTTAAAGCTGTTTTCTCTTTTTCCCTTGCACTTTTTCTGAACATAAAAATTACAATGGTATTGAATATATTATTTGTGCTGATTCTGAAATCACAGCAGTTCTTGAAGAAGTCTGATTAAGCACTTAATCGGAATTGCTGACTTGGTTGCACAAACTATTGTAACACTTTGTTTGGATTGAAGGAAATGGAGGGAAAGGAAGGGAAGGGAAATGGAGGGATGAATTCTCTTTCATCTGGATAATAAATAAGGAATGAAGGGAATTGGAGTGGAGAGTAATGGAGAGAAAAAATTGTAAGAAATTGTAATTGGTTTATAGGCACCAATTGCTATGCAATTTACTTGGAGTATAACTGAAAAACTGATTACCATCATATAAGCTTAGAGGTTCTCTTTGAAAAACCTTTGCTTGGTTTTCTGACCTTTTACATCAGTAATCTATAGGCATGTACCAAATGGTGAAATGGGTACTGAGAGTGAGATTTCCATTTTTCTGGAGACGAAATACTCAAAATGTGAATATCACTGCAGGAAAATGCTCTACTTTAACTGATGCTATGAAGACTCTCCTGCCAGAGTATTTTGGAGAAGGGACACTCAACAGTGAGAAAACAATTGAAGAGGAGGTTCAAGACGTGCATCCAGAAGATGCTGGTGACACAAAAATTACAGAAGAGGTGACTACATCTGTCAGTGAACGTACTGAGGCCAAACAACCGTCAGAAAGTGCTGAAATCAAGCTCATACGAATTCAAGGTATCAAGCCAAAACCCGAGATCCCTTTCTCTTGGGTAGTCAACAACCTAATGAACCCAGATCACTACCTTCACATATGTGTGTCTTTGATCCATCACTAGCCTTCGCTATACAAGCGTTGCTTTACATAGACCTGGTAACTTCTGTATATTTCACTTAGCTGGCCTTGTGGCTTCCACGTTGGTTTATTGAGTTTGCACACCCTTGCATTATTTGTTTTCCTATGCAATCTGTAAAGCACAATTAGTCTGTACATAACAAAATAACCTTCTTTTACTTAGATTGTTTCCCGTTAAAGACCCCCCTTTCTTCCATGTATTGTTCGCATGACGCACTTGAGAAAACGAGGGGTGAATCAAATGACAAGGTTAAGTTTCTATACGAGCCGACCTTTTTAAGCTCTCTGATTCGTATACATGTTTGCTAAATATAGTCAGTTAACTGTACAAGTTGTGTTAATTGTGTATTGTAAAGTTAGCTATACACATGGATTTTTTTTTACACAATTAGTCTGTACATAACAAAATAACCTTCTTTTACTTAGATTGTTTCCCGTTAAAGACCCCCCTTTCTTCCATGTATTGTTCGCATGACGCACTTGAGAAAACGAGGGGTGAATCAAATGACAAGGTTAAGTTTCTATACGAGCCGACCTTTTTAAGCTCTCTGATTCGTATACATGTTTGCTAAATATAGTCAGTTAACTGTACAAGTTGTGTTAATTGTGTATTGTAAAGTTAGCTATACACATGGATTTTTTTTTTTTTTTTTTTTTTTTTTTTTTTTTGGCAGTTTGATTTTCAAGATATTTACATCCACCAAAATTCTGTGTGAAATGGTCCTACACCTTACTAAAAAAAATACAGTGAAAAGAATCATCTCAAGGCGTTTCTTTAATAAAGCTGAAAGACGCAATGAAACAATACTGATATCAGATAAGCAATAACTCCCTCCTCGTCCTCTCCTCGGAAATTGTCTCATACAACGGTTACAACCCTCTCATATCTTCCACGGCTCCCCGCCACCTCCCTCCTCCCACCCGAAAATGAAAGAAAACCTATCACGTTAATCATACAAATGTGCTTTCTCAATTCTAATCACCTACATAAATTATTACCAAACACTTGATAATACGAATGTTATAAAGTACTATACTTCATGCTTAAATTTTTTTCCTACTTCGCAGGCAATATATATATGCAAGTATGCCACAAGCATGAATAAGAAACATAGCAAGTGTTTCGGGTGAAAACAATGGGACCTTGCCGAAGGTCCGCTGAAACGGAGAAGACTGGATTCGGTCCAAGTTATGTTGGGCCGAAGGTTTCCTGCACAGTAAACACACGTAAGCTAGCCTCGGGGGTGTTGCCGAGGAAGGCCCCTCCGATGCTAAAGTCAGTACAATGTGTATAAAGAGAACAATATGCAAGAGAGTTTGTTGCTTGAGGCTTTGATGGAATATATGAGAATATATCAATCAATGAGAATGTATGTGAATCTATGAATCTATATATCTGAATGTATGAATATTGATGGCTTTTATACCTCTTCATACATGGAGAAGTTGGGCCTTAGCCCAATTGGCTTGCTTTGTGGGCTGACCTTTGACTTTAGCACAATTGGAGAGTTGAACCTTGACCTTGGACTTTTAATTGGATCATTTAATGCCTAGGCCCAATTGGACTAAATTGGACCCAAACAACTTGCCCCCCAGACCCGATTTGGAAGGATGACGGGTCGGGTTTGATTTAATTCAGAAAAGGAGGGAAGTAAATGATTTAATTAATCCAAAAATTTGAATTTAAACCGTAATTAATGAGATAACAACGGTTAAGGCGGATGATTGTGGAAGTTGGACGGATAATGGGCAGTTTAATCACAAGATCATGTGTTTAACGGTTACTTAGTGGAGTATTTAAGAGAAATTGAAACGCAGACTCCTCGTATCCCATTCCTGGAGATATAAACAGAGGCGCGTCATCTCTCCTCACTTATTCACCAACACAAACCCAGAATTCTCGAGAGAGAAACCAAGAACCCGCATCAAAACTTCGCAAATTCCCCGAGCATTAAGCTTAGAAACTGAGACTTGCCACTACGAACTCGTAAATCGGCAACTTTCGCTTCAGATTAAGGTAAATTCCTTTGATTTCAGTTTATTTTTCTTCGAATTCGAACTCATTCCCCTTTTCTTTCGACTTTTTTCTTCGAAATAATCAATGGCAAAAGGAGTTAGAGGTAGAGCCCGTGCTCCAAGAAGAGCAAGGCCGATTCCCGATCCTAGGAACAGGATTGGGACCTGGAATGGACAAAAGTCAGAGTCTGACCCTGCTGAAGGGATTAGGGCGACTCCCCTTTCCTCGGCTAATCCTCAGAGAACGGAGGGGCCGAGCGCTTCTGGACAGGATGATGAAGTTCCCGCTGTCCTTTGGGATATCCTCCCCGGGTTTTCAGAGTGGGAGAATGCCGAAGTTGCTTCGGCCATGATAAAGAACCGCCCCTACTCATGGTGGGTGGAGAATGCCGATCAATATCGATTTGCCGAGCAAATTGAGTTGCATTACGGCATTTTTGAAGCTGATGGGTATTGGTGCCGAATGCCCTTGGCATCCGATAGAATCCATCGTCCACCCCCGGGGTATGTGGGGGTGTACACAAGACAGCTTCAGTACGGGCTGAGGTTCCCTTTGGACGTATTCGTCCGAGACTTGCTGATCCATTACAACATCTCTCTATGTCAGTTAACTCCCACCAGCATCCGAAGGGTGATGACATACTTATGGGTCTGCAAGTTCTTCAAGTATGTGCCGAACCTGCACTGCTTCAAAAAGCTCCATCGGCTAGTGCCAAATATTCAAAGTGGGCACGGAAGCCATGGTTCTGGGTGGTACCGGATTGAGTCCCGGCCCCAATACCTAACCATGTGGCCAATCAACTCTTCAGACAAGGACTGGAGAGGTCAATGGATTTGGGTTAGGGCACCCACAGATCCGGGCCACCCTTGCGTCTTCAGCGCTCCCCGGTACCTTGCTGAGGCTGATCCCGAAATGGGAATTCTAGGTCCCCCCGCAGATAACGGGGCGGATCTGAACCTTGATCAACAACATATCTTCGGCAAGCAGCCGAACCGGGGGGGCAGTGGCCGAATGCAGCATATCCCGGAGACTTGGCTCCCCGATACGCATTATGTTTTCCAAGAGAACATGCTAGCAGCTGTTGGCCTCAGCCGAAAGTTTAAGGATGGTAAGCTTCTTCGGCTGGGGCCGAGGCTTTTTAATTATCTCTTTTTCTTCTCTCGCTTCGCTTTTTTATGCTGTGCCAACCTATCTGAACTGACCTTTCCCCTTTTCTTTTTCAGAGCGGGACGAGACCAACGTTGGCATTAACTACGCTCGTCTTGGTGTCAACCGAGAACGAGTTGTAACTGAACGGGCCCCGTCTATCACTGAGCCGAGGCATAGGGAAGTTCATCTAGACTCTTTCCACTTCCAAATTGAGGCTGTTGCTCTGTATCAGAGGCAGAAGCCTTGGTGGAAGAAGAGAGACCCCTGGTTTCAGCTGCTGGACGAAGAAGCTGAAGCTGCCCGTACAGCCGAAGAGGTTGCACGGGTTCTCGAAGCTTGCGAAGGAGGAGAAGGGTCCTCCAGAGCTGCTGAAGCAGAAGCTGCAGCAAGGTCAGCTAAAGAAGACGAGGCTTTGCTGAAGACCTCGGTGAGCTTTCAGACTTAACTTTGTCTTTCTTTTTTTTTTTTTTTTTTTTTTTTTTTTTTTTTTTTTTGTACTCACATTCTTCCTCCCCCCTGTCTGTTACAGTATGAAGAGAGTAACAGACATAGAGAAGGGAAAGCTCCTGTTCGTCCCGAAGACCAAATACAAGAAGAGTCTTCAGACTCAGATATGGACGAGCAGCCCCTTCAGAAAAGGCGCGGAAGGATGGCCATCATCGGCCCTCATGACTTTCAGCGGAGGCCGATGACCATCGGCGTTGCAATAAGGGAACCCGAGGAAGGCAATGGATCGCCGAGGGTTCCCCGGCCACCACCCCAATCACCTCCAAAGACCCCTCCGCCACCTCCTGAGATGGAGGTGGATCAGAGAACTCCCGAATCTAAGGGAGGGGTCGAAGAAGCAATTCAGGAAAGTGCTGCTGAGCACAAGAATAAAGATGCCGTGATGCCCAGTGCTGAGGGTTTCACGGCAGACATCGCAAGAGAGGTTGAGGCTTTCGTCCTCACCCCTGAAGAAGAGGAGGTCATAGTAATTGACTCCTCTGAGAAGGATGATGCTGAGCCATCCACAGCTAAACAAGCTCCATCGTCATCCTTTCCCTCCTTCCAGACTCTGCAATCTGGAGAAATGGGTTTCTCGGCCCCCCGAATTCCAATCCCAGATCACATCTGGGACCTCATATGGGGTCAGAACCGAGAAGGAGCTGCAGCCTACTTCGGCGATTTTGCTGGCATGTCCGAAGTAGATAGGGCAAGGATCTGGTCGCTGAAGGCCACTGCTGGGATGGGCGAATCCAGCAGATCAGTTCCTGACCCAGCCAGGTCTAACCAACTGCTGATGATGCAGGTAATTTTCCTTGTCTTTTATTTCCTCTGAAATTCAGCTCTATTTTTATTATTATATATTTTTTTTTATTTTTTAACTTGTCTTCCTGTTTTCAGTTCGTGCACAATCAGACTCTCACTGTAGAGCTGATAGATACCCTACAAGATAGGGTAGACGCTGCTGTGCACGACAAGAAGGTAGCTGAAGAGGAATTAAAGCTTGCTAAGCTGAAGCAAGCAGCAGCTGAAGAGAAGCAGCAGAAGGGTGAGGAGTACGAGAAAAGACCTGCTGAAGCCCTCAAAACCTTCTGCGACGCTATGGAGAAGGAAGTTTTTCCCCCACTGATGGAAGGGGAAAAATTCCTCCAGGAGCATATGGGAGTGGACGTCTCCAAATTCAAGGCTGCTGTTGAGAGCCGTATTCAGGAAGGAGCTGCTGCACAAGCTGAAGTGCAGCAACGACTAGAAGCTCTTGAAGCCAGCCGAATGGCTGCTGAAGAGCTGCTCCAGGCCAGAGATGTCCAACTCTCAGAGGCTGCTGCTGCTGCCGAAGCTCAGAGAGCTAAACTCCATGAGGCTGAGGATCAACTGATGGCCAAAAAAGTTGAAGTGGCCCAGGCTCAGACAAAGGCTTCCCAAGTTCAGCAGGAGCTGAATGAGCTGAAAGGTTCCTCCTCCAAGCTCGCTGATGAGCTGAAGAAATCCAAGGAAGACTTGGAGGAGACCCAGAAGAAGCTGGCTGATGCTGAGGCTCTACTCAAAGTCCGTGTCTATACCCAAGAGGAATATGAGATGGGTTTCAGAAACGGGTTCAGAGTATGCCGAAGAGTC